CACATTGATACAAATTTCTATCTTTGAGGGTGCAAATTTAGATTTTTTATCTTTGGGGTACACATTGATATAAATTTCTATCTTTGAGGGTGCAAGTTGAGATTTTTTATCTTTGGGGGTGCACATTGATACAAATTTCTATCTTTGAGGGTGCAAATTGAGATTTTTGATCTTTGAGGGTGCAAATTGAGATTCGAACGATCTTTCGGGGTGCAAAATGAGATTAACCCTAGATTTTATAGGGTTGTATAAAGATTAACAATAGATCTTGGTCCAATGAAATGGAAAATTTTCCTATAGTAGTATTTGAAGAGACTTAGATACTCTCTCTATTTTTTTTTCCCGCATGGGGTGGCAGCACGGGTGTGCTCTTTCTCGTTTCTCTAAATGTTAATTTCCTCCTTGTGAGCGAGGGCTATCTATGTAGATTCAGTTCGAATTTTAAAAGATGGGCCTATGACGAACCATATTGGTGTTGCGTGTTGAAATGATGAATGTTATTTTCTTTTGGTTGTATGAAAGTTGATGCTGTGTAATTGCTTATGGTATATCCCTTGAATTCTCTATTTTGCTTATAAGATCCTACTTACCAGGAAAAGTGTTATTGCTTTTGCCTCCAGACATAATGTAGTTACTCATTCATGATTTTTCCCTGGTAAATAATATAATCTTACCAAAATTTTTGGAGTTTATATTTGCTTGTAGGACCGAAGATCTCCATGGGCCATTTGGGGAATTTGGTCCTGTCAAAGATGTTTACTTGCCGCGAGATTACTATACTGGGTGAGCATGACCTTTGATGTCTATAATTCTATTGGATGCCTATTTCTTATATTAAGATTTTTTCCACTTACCTACTACTTTAGATCTGAATGTGGTATTTATTGTCAAATGTTTACCCCGATTCTATTGTTGGGGCAAATCCACAGTGGGGGCAGGAATTTTAAAAATGTTTGGGGTATAGGTATAATTTTCAAAAGTCTTAGAATTGCTTGAAAGTTGCCCCCAGTTAATTTTTTTGGAAAGACTAAAGGGAGGTTTTGTATTTTTTGTTCCAAGTGGGGTCTTTAATAGATTTAGAGCCTATACTCAAGGACAACATCCGATTTCGATAGCTTTTGCAATTTTTTTGATTTTTTTGGGTGGTAGTTGGTGTTTTAGGTAGCTTGGTTATCTAATTTTTTTTCCTAATAGTAGACAATTGAACTTAGATTTTTCAAATTTGAACTGAGTGACTATGATTACAATATGCAATTTATTGATCTTTTTTTAAAAATTATTTGTAATTGCAATATTTGTTGGAAATTGAAGGTTGAGGAGGACATAAAGGAGTTCGATCTGCTTGGATTGAATGTATGTTTAAATTCTTTGGTTATTGAGGATTGCTTTTGCATGTTAAAAATTCTTTGCTATTTTTAAGTGTTTTATTAAATTCTCAAGTGTTATTGGGGCTTGGTTGCATGTATGCAGAAAGAAGTTTCAAATTCCATTGATAATGAAATGATCCTTCAATGCTTTTAAAATATGAAAACTTGTGGTGAAAAATTATGAACATTTATTAGATGTTTGAGAATTTGAATTTTTCCATGTATAGACTCGATATATGAGCGCTAATTTTTTTTTTCTTGTTAGGTCTTATCGACAACTTTATAGTAGGCCTTTTTTGTTAGCTCCTTTTGTATATGGCTCGTATATACGAGTAGTGTCTTTAATTGACGTCATTTTAATGTTATTATATTTTTGTGAACATTTGGAGTTTGAATATTCATTTGGTTTAGGTTGCCCCCACTACAAAACATGTCTGGCTCCGCCCCTATCCGGTTGTATGGTGGCGGGCATCTTTGTTTATTATATACAAAAATTTTATGGGAGTTTGGTTGTTGCTATTGAAAGTGTTGAAGACACCAATCAAGTAATAAGAGTAGAAGTTCAAGGTGATCAAAATGTACAAGAAGATAGAAGTAAGTTGGGTATGAATGAATACATTGTGAAGAAGTTCAAGTCTTGAAGAATTTCAACTCACATTAAAACCATGGCTCATGCAAGGTTAGCAGCCATGCAATTGCTTTATTTAAATTTTTATGGAGTGCGAGCAGAATATTTGTGATTATCTTGATCTTCCTTTTTCCTTTGGAATGAGGACAACACTCGCGATGACCATTTGGAAGAATTGGTTTATGTATATGCGTGGGCAAGTGGCTATGGATGTATGCAAGTTATTATACTCTGTTTGTGATTCCAATGTTCTTATTGGTGCAGGGAGCCGCATGGCTTTGGTTGTATGCAATATGTAGAGCCTACTGATGCTACTGAAGGCAAATACCAGATGGATAGTCAGATTCTTCCTGGATGAGTGATGTCTGTTGTATTTGCTGAGGAAAGTCGAAAGAAGCCTTCTGAGATGAGGGCAAGAGGCCGTGTAAGGTTAACTTATTGGTGCCTAGTTTTTATTTGTTTATTTTTCCATAGCAATTTGCATAACATATATTTCATTTGATAATTCAAAACCATTATTCAATTGCATAAACATTCAGATAGAGCAATATTCTCTTGTACTCTTCTGCAGAAATAACAACTCTGAAGTGCGCATAGAATATCTTGCTTGGGGTTTGTAATTTGTGAATACTGTTATTGTCAGTGGTCAATCATATGACCGAAGGTGGTCCCCACGTTGTTATTCTAGATCACCACAGTATGCTCGACCTTACTCCCGAGGCCCAGATTATTATTCCCCATCCCCAAGGTGAAGGCGTTACTCAAGGTATGCAATTATGTGCACTTTCTTGTTATCTGATATTGATAAGATTGTCAGACAAGAAAGACCCTTATATTCACTAATATGAGTTGATCTCTGAGACAGATCAATTTCGACATGTGAGCGAAGGTATAGAGAGAAGTCTTACCCCAGGCCCCCCTATGGCTCTAGAAGCCGAAGCCAAGGCATTGATTAGGAGTAGGAGCATCGAGTGTTACTAGGTACGACCACTGTAGATAAAGGTCTTGCTTGGATTTGAGTGCCCCAACGACAAAACTCATGATTGGAAGAATCGCCACTGGGCCTTGGGCAAACTGTTTCTCTACCACATTTTATGATTTAGATAAGAAGTTATCCCTTTGCAAGTGGTTCCTGAGGTACTTAAGCATATCTCCATTTCTTTCTAGACTAAGACTGGTTGCTATATTTGGTATTTTTTTTATTTTCTTTCATTGAACTTACATTATTTGACGTTTGTCTCATTTATTTTGCATTGATAGTTCTCAACTTACGAAGCTGGTTAGATTTTAATTTTTAATAGTTCATTAGCTTTTCCTACACTCCATTAATGTAGAAACTTCGGAAAACAGCTGAAGATCATGGTAAAAATGGTTCCACGGCTTTAAATTTGGCAAATAGTACTACGACACTTGTTGCTCCAAGCTCCAATGTGATCATGCCAGTTGCTAGCAAATTCTTATTGTACTATATTATGGTATTTTCCCTATATGTTTCTGGTCTTATATCTTTTGAATCATGTTTTTCTGATTTCCGTGAATATTTGTTTTGAGTAGTTCCATGTTGAAAATGATAGGTATGCAATCTTAACATAGTTCCATGTAATTTGACTTTGGGACCTTTTGAAAATTATGAAGATTATGGTAGCAATATGAGGAATTTTATAGTCCCCTTCATATTATAGAGGAATTGACCACAGAAATCTATAGGTTGCAGTTGCATACCTACTGTTGCACTATGGAGGTATTGCATTCATTAAAACTCTCAACTTTGGAATAAGAAACATTTGTGGTAAACTTTTGTATCTCACTCCATATATAAAATGATGAGCATTTTATGGGCTAAAGAACTTGATTTTTACCCTTACTAGCATTCCTTATTAGTTGACAAAAAAAA